AGAGAGAGAAAGAGACAGGGAGCGAGAGAGAGGGGTAGAGAGGGAGGGAGAGGCACAAAAAGCTGAATTATAAGAACAGTACTAGTTTTGAAGAATGCGGGTCCCGTTTGTTTAAGCTTTGCATCATCCACACAGAGCAGGTCTACTGGATATTGATAAAGACTGAATTATTCGGTATCCATGTTTTATCCTGGCGAGAGCGAGAGATGTGCTGTCATTTTTCAGTAGCCTACTTACTTTACTTTTCCGATCCAGCGGCCATTTGGGTTCTAGCCCTTCGGTCTGTTGATGTGGCAAAGAATTTGCAGGTTTTAATCAGCTGTGCTTTGTCGCTGCATAGGGTATTTCCGATGTCTGGGGAGGCAGGTAGGTAGGCGCTATGCAGGTCACAAAGTGCTGGGCAGTTAAAGAGGTGGTGTGGTACTGTTTCATCCTGGCAGTCGCACAACGGGCAGTCGGGTGGGGTATCCTTGCGGATCCTAATAAGGTATTAATTTAGTGGTATGTGTTGTGTTCGCAGGCGAAAGATCGTGACTTGTTCTCTTCTACTCAAGGAATTTATTGCATCTTTAGAGTTGGGGGCTGTCATGTGTGCAAATAGTTCTTCCAGTTTTGCCCATTGCCCATCCATTCAGCCACTGTTCCCTGGTGTTGCATTTGATGATGTTCTTGGCTGTCTGTTGTGATACTGGATTGTGGGATTGTGTTTGTGATGCTCCCTTCTTGGCAAGGGTGTCTGCTCTGTCGTTTTCTGGGATGTTGCTGTGGCCAGGTATCCACTGTAGTGTCAGGTCGACGGCATAGGTCTGTATGAAGGTGTTGATTGTTTGAGCCACAGATAGGCAGGCTGGGCTTTTGAAATTCAAGTTTTCCAAAGCTTGGAGTACTGACAGTAGCCTACAAAATGAGCAGTAAATCTAAAATTTCACTTGTTTCATAAAGGGGGTTTCAGGGGGGCTTGCTCCCTGACCTAACAAAAACATGGGTGGGGGTTTTAGAGGGGCATGTCCCCCTGAATTCGCCCATGAATTTGATGTTTTGCATCCCTTGATATCTCTCCCTATCAGCACACGCGTAATAAAAAAGCAATCGTTTAGAACCAGAAATAATTGTCGGTGGAGCCAAAACCCACACTCCGAAGTTGCCCACAGCCCCTGTTGAAGTTGCCGCATTTACAACCCTATCAAGGTTGCCCCCAAGCAAGGGTAAGCCATAAAATCGCTATTGGTTGAAAATTTGAAATGCAATTAGAGTAAAGAACAGAATAATTGAGAACTAGATCTAGAATCTAAATCAGCTGCGGCTTTACACTACAAGAACAATATTAAAAATGGTCTGTGTTCTTTCATAAAGGCGGGTGCAGATCTATCTGGGCCTGCATCTAGATCTAGATGTAGTAGATCTAGGCCTATTTTTAAATTGCGGCACAACACGAACCTCTTGAGGAAGCACAAATTTTACGAAGTGGCTAGCCTGACAGTCTTGCCGCACTTAGATATATCTGGGTTTGGCCCTATTGACCACAACCTGTTGAGTACACAGGTCTCTTAGATCTAGAATCTAGTAATTATTCAGGTTTAAAATACATGCATTATGTCAGTAAGGCACTTTTTGGTTTTTCATATGAAATACCATCATTAAATTATAAGTACGGCTAGATCTAGCTTGATAGTCTAGTCGCTAGACAAGCAGTCTAGCAGTACTTTAAGTTTAAGTACGGCTAGCCTGGCAGTCTAGCCGTACTTATTTTAGGCTCTAGTCTATTAGAAACCTGTTGAGTACAAAGGTCTCATTTGGAAGATCTATTCTAGATCTAGATATCTAGATGAATTATTCACTGTTAGTGTTAGTTTAGGCACCTGGTTTCGTCTCAAATACAATGTTTTAGCCTAGGTATTGCAAACTAAAAAATTATTTATAATTCAGTAGGCCTATTTTTTCTGTTTGTCAGTCTAAACATCATGATGTATAAGTAGTCTACGGCTAGCCCAGCCGTCTAGCCGTAATTAAGCACGGCTAACCTCTTCCTCCTAAATTTTAAATAGAAAAGGTCCAAACCCACTTTAGACTATTTTTCGACACTATTTTATCCTTTTTGATGATCTTGTAGTTCCGTTCGTAAAAGTCCACCCACGATCCATTTCTTTACATCCAGAAAAGAAATCCGGAAGTCTTGACGACCAAATAGTCAACACAAAGAACAGGGATGCAACCTAACTGCAAAACATCAAATTTTATGGTAAAATTCAGGGCCCCCCCCCCCCCCCCCCCCCCCCGCCCCACCGTTTTATGTTCCCCAACAAATACACAAACAGAAATTAAATGTTAAGATGGTCTGCTTCTGTCCTGTCTGGCAGGGCCAACCCAGGCTGAATGGGATGTATACATCCATCTCAACAAAACAGAAACTCAATAAAATTATATATATACATATATAAGTTCCCCACACAGAAATCAAACCCACCTGTATGCAATGGCAAAGACCTTTTAACCATTTCACCACAGATGCCAGTGCCCTTCTGCAAAATTCTTCATCCAAAAATGACATAAAGGCAATTCAATTCAGTCAAAGAGAGACCAGTAAAAAAAGGATAACTGTTAAAGCATGGTAGAAAAGTGATACAAATAGACAGAAACAATGAAAGTTTCCTTACACATGCATGAGAGAAAATGGTGGAGACGAAATTTGTTTACTATGAAAAAAATACTTACCATTAGTGTTCTGAGTTCTTTCTGTAATCTGAAAACAATAAAAGAAGTTAAAGTTTATCATGTTAGTCAAAACAGAGTATGATAACACACAAAAAAATTTAGACTGGCAAAAGACTGAAGAGTTATCTCCAGTCTAAATTGACCTCCATTCTAACCAATTTCCTGTCAATCACTATGTAAATCTATGCCCTCTCCATCACCTTTACCTGTCCATAAAGAGGATCCAGGGTTTTTTTAAAAACAAAAAATGTCTAATTAAGGAAGTTACAGAGGATCAGATGGACAGACAGTTGAGACAGGGCCACCAACGAAGAAGTGTTAAGGAGAACAAGACACAGCCCAGTCAGAGATGAGGTGGGAAGAATGTTATAGTGTAAGTTTTGTTTTTAGTATTTAAGGAACTACAAAGACTATTACAAAGTTTTGATAAAGTTTCCAAGAGGACCACGGCTAGAGTGTGACTGTTTGTCCTATCTATGATAGGAGTGAGAGATTTTATTTTTTTAAAAGACAACATCGAGCCACAAACTATTCATGTCTACATGATGCTGTCAGACACCTTCCTCAAGACTTACTTTTTAAAAATTTAAAGTCTAGGAAGTCAAGCCCTGTCTATAGACAACCGTATCCAATCAATTGCCCCACACAAACAACTCCCCCCACCCCCCCCCATTTTCTTTTTAGTTTGAAAAAAAGTACAGCCCTCACTGTCTTAGAATCTCAGAAAAGATGAGAAAAGAGAACCAATGATTGAGTAGATGTTTTATGGCACTACCGACACAAAGAGAATCAAGAAGAAAAAGAGGTCCAGTAGGCCTGTTTCACAGCAGACAGTGCCAATTTGGGAGGAATTCCATAACGAGAGACCGCTATGAGTAGAATAAAGGGTTAGGGTTTGGGGTAGGGGTAGAGTTTGTTTGTGGTAAGGGTTGGGTGGGGGTTAGGGTTGGGTTAGGGTTGGGTCAGGGTTAGGGTAGGTTGAGGCACATTCGGCTACGGGCAACTCTGACCACCTCAACCTAGACTTGGCTTTTGAGAATAATTTGATCCCTGTGTCGTGGAATTATCAAAGTCCACTTTTATTCGCTGCACATTTGATTCTATCTAAAAATAAAATTTCAGCTTCCAAGGCTTCCACATATTTTTAGTCAAAAAGCTCCAGAAAACATCCATCCAATGTCGGCGTTCTGTCGCTGCATACTTTTCGCTCTTGAAGAAAAAAATCAGCAGGCCTACTTCACCCGTCATTTACTTTCTTATACACCTCTTTTCTTGCTCGAAAATATTCATATAATGAAACTTTGGTATCCTTAGCTTCATTTCAATCTAACTAGAATTTGAAATATTGATTATAATATGAATTTAGATGAATTTAAAATTATGGAGTGAGATTTTAGTGGCTGGTGCAAATTCGACAGGGCAAAACGGGGTAACTTCAACAAGGCGTAGACCAATTTCGACCTGACTCAGATTCATTTCAGTCCAAACCAAATATCAGCTTCATAAGCAGAATCACCTTAAACAAACAACCACATTTCACTTTAATCTTGTTTGTATGATTATCATTTTCATCATGGGTCGAAATCCTTGACCGACCTGATACAAACTAGTAGAAATTTTGACTAAGATAGGCTACTCAACTGTCGCAAGTTAAGATGTTTGACAGAGAGAGTGTGTGTGTGCATTATATGTGCAAGTGCGTGTCTTCGTGTGTATGCGCACTCAGAGAGAGAGGGAGAGGAGGCGGTAAGGAAAGAGAAGAAAGGGGGAGGGAGAGAGAGAGATAGAGAATTCAGCAAAGAAGGGTTGAGAGAGAGAAAAGAGGAGAGAGAGAGAGAGAGAGAGAGAGAGAGAGAGAGAGAGAGAGAGAGAGAGAAAGAGACAGGGAGCGAGAGAGAGGGGTAGAGAGGGAGGGAGAGGCACAAAAAGCTGAATTATAAGAACAGTACTAGTTTTGAAGAATGCGGGTCCCGTTTGTTTAAGCTTTGCATCATCCACACAGAGCAGGTCTACTGGATATTGATAAAGACTGAATTATTCGGTATCCATGTTTTATCCTGGCGAGAGCGAGAGATGTGCTGTCATTTTTCAGTAGCCTACTTACTTTACTTTTCCGATCCAGCGGCCATTTGGGTTCTAGCCCTTCGGTCTGTTGATGTGGCAAAGAATTTGCAGGTTTTAATCAGCTGTGCTTTGTCGCTGCATAGGGTATTTCCGATGTCTGGGGAGGCAGGTAGGTAGGCGCTATGCAGGTCACAAAGTGCTGGGCAGTTAAAGAGGTGGTGTGGTACTGTTTCATCCAGGCAGTCTCACAACGGGCAGTCGGGTGGGGTATCCTTGCGGATCCTATTAAGGTAGGAATTTAGTGCTATGTGTTGTGTTCGCAGGCGAAAGATCGTGACTTGTTCTCTTCTACTTAGGGAATTTATTGCATCTTCAGAGTTGGGGGCTGTCATGTGTGCAAATAGTTCTTCCAGTTTTGCCCATTGCCCATCTACTCAGCCACTGTTCCCTGGTGTTGCATTTGATGATGCTCTTGGCTGTCTGTTGTGATACTGGGTTGTGTGGTTGTGTTTGTGATGCTCCCTTCTTGGCAAGGGTGTGTGCTCTGTCGTTTCCTGGGATGTTGCTGTGGCCAGGTATCCACTGTAGTGTCAGGTCGACGGCATAGGTCTGTATGAGGGTGTTGATGGTTTGAGCCACAGATAGGCAGGCTGGGCTTTTGAAATTCAAGTTTTCCAAAGCTTGGAGTACTGACAGTAGCCTACAAAATGAGCAGTAAATCTAAAATTTCACTTGTTTCATAAAGGGGGTTTCAGGGGGGCTTGCTCCCTGACCTAACAAAAACATGGGTGGGGGTTTTAGAGGGGCATGTCCCCCTGAATTCGCCCATGAATTTGATGTTTTGCATCCCTTGATATCTCTCCCTATCAGCACACGCGTAATAAAAAAGCAATCGTTTAGAACCAGAAATAATTGTCGGTGGAGCCAAAACCCACACTCCGAAGTTGCCCACAGCCCCTGTTGAAGTTGCCGCATTTACAACCCTATCAAGGTTGCCCCCAAGCAAGGGTAAGCCATAAAATCGCTATTGGTTGAAAATTTGAAATGCAATTAGAGTAAAGAACAGAATAATTGAGAACTAGATCTAGAATCTAAATCAGCTGCGGCTTTACACTACAAGACCAAGATTAAAAATGGTCTGTGTTCTTTCATAAAGGCGGGTGCAGATCTATCTGGGCCTGCATCTAGATCTAGATGTAGTAGATCTAGGCCTATTTTTAAATTGCGGCACAACACGAACCTCTTGAGGAAGCACAAATTTTACGAAGTGGCTAGCCTGACAGTCTTGCCGCACTTAGATATATCTGGGTTTGGCCCTATTGACCACAACCTGTTGAGTACACAGGTCTCTTAGATCTAGAATCTAGTAATTATTCAGGTTTAAAATACATGCATTATGTCAGTAAGGCACTTTTTGGTTTTTCATATGAAATACCATCATTAAATTATAAGTACGGCTAGATCTAGCTTGATAGTCTAGTCGCTAGACAAGCAGTCTAGCAGTACTTTAAGTTTAAGTACGGCTAGCCTGGCAGTCTAGCCGTACTTATTTTAGGCTCTAGTCTATTAGAAACCTGTTGAGTACAAAGGTCTCATTTGGAAGATCTATTCTAGATCTAGATATCTAGATGAATTATTCACTGTTAGTGTTAGTTTAGGCACCTGGTTTCGTCTCAAATACAATGTTTTAGCCTAGGTATTGCAAACTAAAAAATTATTTATAATTCAGTAGGCCTATTTTTTCTGTTTGTCAGTCTAAACATCATGATGTATAAGTAGTCTACGGCTAGCCCAGCCGTCTAGCCGTAATTAAGCACGGCTAACCTCTTCCTCCTAAATTTTAAATAGAAAAGGTCCAAACCCACTTTAGACTATTTTTCGACACTATTTTATCCTTTTTGATGATCTTGTAGTTCCGTTCGTAAAAGTCCACCCACGATCCATTTCTTTACATCCAGAAAAGAAATCCGGAAGTCTTGACGACCAAATAGTCAACACAAAGAACAGGGATGCAACCTAACTGCAAAACATCAAATTTTATGGTAAAATTCAGGGCCCCCCCCCCCCCCCCCACCCCCTATTCTTGACTCTTGGGGCCCAAACCGGCGAATAATAATTGGGGGGTGGGAACTGCCGAAAAAGCGCTATTCTTTGCTTGAATTTTGATTTTCTGGCAATTCAGGGTCTCTGGCAGTAGCAATCAGCTTTGGACTTCAACTGCCATGCCCGAACCCTGTCGGGTGATCCGCGTAGACCGCTACCTGCCAAACCCGAAACCCGTCGGGTGCGTTTTTACTAGACTACTATTTTTCAAAATTCCGACGTGTTGGGCTTGGCAGTCGGAAGTAGGCGACATAAGCCAGTTTAATTTCGATTCCGCATTGTTGCAGTAACTTCCCTTGAATAAGTTATTTAAAAATTGAAGACTTTTTAGAACTCACCCAAAACGAACTGAAAACTAAGTACCAACGCTCAGTTACGATGGCGACGGCGTCTCAACGAGGTCGGAACATTTGAATTGATGGACCCATTCGTCAATAAAGGGTCAGATTTAGATCTTTTTGCAGATGATAGTGATGATGAACCATCATACAGAATTGAAAATGAGTACAGGAAAGGAAATAGGAGAGGTGCGGACAAGTGAAGATGAAAACTGTGCTAGATCTAGGCCGAGATCTAAAATTAGGTGTTCCCCATCCTCAGACCTATGATCCGGCGCTTCCCGGTCCCAGTTCAGACTCATCACACAAACGTTAAAGATCACACAACGTAGATTTAGACCCCAAAATGCCCAAATGATAGGATTACAGCTGACACAGACCCTCCTTGGACTACGCTACAAACTTCAAATAGTGGCACCCCTCCCCCAATGGCCATGCCCTGTCCTGCAACCACACACCCTGATGTTGATGCTCAGGATGGGTGAACTGATCATGACTTGAATGACTTTCCAGTTATATAATATAAAATTTGTCAGATATCTTTTCAAAGTGATTCTTCAACATTTGTCAGTTGATACAACATCTATTTCTTGCAGAGACAAAGATATAATAAAGGCATGCATATCGACTGAATGTACCACAAGCACCTAAATGTTAATGTTAAGTGGCTATCCTCACCCGGGGTGAGGATAAAAAAAAAATCGATAAAAATACGATCTGCCTCTCACCCTGGGTGAGATTTGCCAGCGTTGGCTATTCTCACGCGGTGTGAAACAAGACCTGTTTTTCCTAATTTCGGAGTACTGTCTATCGGTGTGGATGATCAAATGGATAAAAGCCAAGAAAAAATTACGTCATACTAGCACAACATTTTAAGCTAATTTGATCGTCTACAAAGATGCTAGATATAGATCTATGGCTATTTAACTTTTCGAATCGAGCCGAACTATGCGGGTCGCCATTTTGTTTTGCCCAGAAGTTCTCGTGCCACACACACACACACACTACCGGGTCTGGGCGCTGAAACTTTCCGAAATCACAAAAGAGTTCCCCTACCGGGTCTGTATACTTCGTGACCTTGTTCCCGGTTACCGGGTCTGTATACACTTCGAAGTAAAAATTTACCTTTTTTTTTTTAAAGTGGCTATTCTCACCCGCCCGGAAGTTCTCGCAAGATCAACTCCTCCCCTCTTCTTTCTCTCTCTGTCTCTTTCTGAATACTGTCTATCGGTGTGGACGATCAAATTGACCAAAACAAAGTTAAAAAATGATGTTAAAACACAAAAGTAAATAAATTTGGTTGTCTACAAAGATGCTACGGCTATTTAACTTTTCGAATCGAGCCGAACTACGCGGGTCGCCATCTTGTTTTGCCCGGAAATTCTCGCGCTACTCCTCTCTCTCTTTCTCTCCACTGCCCACAGACAAAATTGTACGCTTTTAGTAGGCTACAATTGTAATGGAACGTTTGTTCACGGCACAGAATTCTACAATTTTTCCTCACAGTGTAGAATTCTATGGTTTAGGGTGAACGCAAAATTTGGTGAACGCGCACCGGGTGAGAATAGCCACAAGACTCGCCTGCACTATTCTCACTCCGGGTGAGAATATAGAGGTGGCCTTTTTTTTAATTTGTAAAGTTCAATGCTGTAGACATAATAATAATGCTCACAGTGAGGTTTTGAAAATGGCCCCGAGGTCCCGAAAGCCTGGCATTCCTCCGTTACCCTGCCGAGAAAAGCCTGGCAGTGAGTGAGTTAACGAACGGACTACAAAATCAGCGTAGACTAGAGTCTGCTACTCAGGCTACTGTGACAGTGAGACTCTAGAACTTGTTAGGGGCCTACCTTTTGGAAACATTGTTTACAGTTGTCTTTGCTGAATCAACGGCCGAGGTTGCCATATCTTTTTCGTCAAAAGACTGTTGGGTCAGTAACGTCTGATCTGGTCGGGAGTTTTCGGCTAAAAGAATGATACAATATTTTGAGACCCCGAACTGAACTCAGGTGAACTCGCACACTTGCTTGAATTTCATTGAATTTGGGAGAACTACAAGCATAGCCAATCAGAGAGTAGTTCCGGTACGACTAAATAATTTCATTGTTACCGCCCCTGTTGATCAAAACGAGAAACGCCTTTTTGTTGATTCTATCTTATCTTTGAACAGTCACGTAGATCTAGATGCTTTGAATATTAGTATTGAGAAGGAAAAAAGTCAAGAAGAGAGGACAATACAGACAAACTAACCAAAAACTGTCTGATTTAAAGAAGTAGGCCTGACATTTCTGTAGGCATGGCTATGCCTAGGCTTTCTCAGTTTTGTAGGCCTAGATCTAGGCCTATTGGAAACGCCGAGTTCTAAAAGCCTCGAGCTTGGCCTTCTCAGTCAGGCCCTGCAGTGTCTCGGTATCGCCGGCGCACCGTTCGCGGAGGGTCAAGGCCTAGACGGTCAGAGAGATAGTAAGAACGTATAGGTCAAGGCGAAAAGCGGCGAAGTGCGCTGGTGAGGGTGATGGGCTAGGCGATTATATGACCGTCTAGGGCTCGCCCCTCATGCGTTCGAGTATACTGTAGACATGCTTGAAAAAAAAAGCATGACTTGTGAAGAGAATGAAGATGGTGTTAGGGCCACAGATACAAAACAAAAAAACTTTCGATGTAAAGGGAGCTGTTTGCAGCTGTCTAACAAGAAAACAGTTGCCATGCGCACTTGCATATGCTGCGAGGAGAAAAAGACGATATTCGATTTGTTTCAGGACATGTGGCTTATTCCTGATCCCCCGGCAATCCCACTGTTTGAGGGGTATCAATGTTTCCAAATCTGTACCCAAACCAAGACTATGATTAACAAAAGTGGGCACAGCAAGTGACCAGACAGGACTAATTTCAAGAAATTCGTATTTTAAAAATGTATAAGACAAATTAAGAACTGAACGAACCTTTCTCCATAGAAGTAAGCAATAAATTTCAAGCTTTGGAATACATCACTAAATCGGAAGAACTATGTAAGAAAATGAAAGACTCAATAATGGAGGCTCTGGAAGAAAATGTCCCATCGAAAGAGAGAGAGAGACAGAGGGCGGGGGCCAAAGAGGGATAGGGGAAATTGGAGAGCGAGGGAGACAGAGAGGTAGAGAGAGAGAGAGAGGGGGGGGGGGCTGGGGCGGGGAAGGGGGGGAGGAGGAGACAGGCAGAGAGTAAGGGTGCCCACCCACAGGTACAGAAAGCAGCAAAACGGTACGCAATTTATCCGTCATTGTCCGTGAAACGAACTCGGGCCGTTTTGTGGAGCTTCCTTAATGGCTCTCAACCCATTTAGCTCGCTCTTTTCAGAGACGGACGTTGAATTCGGAGGTCCTGCCTCATATATAATATACTCTTTTCCAAAAGAAACTTGACACATTTTCTTTGAACATAATACTATTAAATCAAAACGGACAACAATGATATTTATATTCAGTGCAATGTGTTAGTTTTACTGTCTTCTGAATCAATTTTGACAACACAACTAAGTGAGTTCACTCACTTCTGTGTGTTTAGTATGATTTCATTTTTTTTACATTTTATTCTGTTAAGCATGAGTTTTCTGTATTGTCTTTGTTATAAATGTGTAGCTTATTTCAAAACCTACAAAAGGTGTGTAATAAGTTTATGAAAACATTGTTTGCATTTGAACTGCGAGCTTCAGAAATCAAGAAAAATGTCAACTTTCAATCATGCCGCGTCTCAGTGCAGATGAACGAGGGCGCGCTGTAGGGCATCACGAATCAGGTGTTCCCGTGGCGGATGTAACAAGGATTTTTAACAGTAGCAAGGAAACCATCTACAGTCTGCAGACCAGGTACATGGACACAGGAAGTACCAGAGACCGGCCAAGATCAGGGAGGCCGCGGGTAACCACCCCGACACAGGATCGGTATGCACCACTCACCTGAAGGACAAGTTCTAGTCTGCTTCGCAAACTGCCAGAATCCTCCCGCAACAGCAACCAGCGAGCACACAGACAGTTATTCGTCTCAGGTCCTTTTCACAGATGTGTCTAGATTCGTCCAAGATCGCTACAAGGTCGAGTGCGGGTATGAAAGGTTTGCTAACCAGTGTGTACATGAAATCCCTAAACATGGATATGGGCAGGTGATGGTTTCGGGCGGAATCACAACAGACCACAGGACGGCACTGGTACATGCTCCGACAACATAGAATGGCGCCAACTCCGTAGCCACCATCTTGCAGCCACATGTGGCACTGTTTGTGCACAACCACTCAGGCTACACCTTACAACAGGACAACGCTCGAGCCCATCGTTCCAGGGTGACACAAGCTTACCTCGCACAACAACAATTCGGTTTCATCCATCCCTGGCCAGCAGTATCCCCCGACATAAACCCGATTGAACATGTGTGGGATATTCTTTGGCCTCAAATCCAAGAGATGAATCCCGCTCCTCAGAACAATGCTCAGTTTATTCTAAGCCTAACCAACGCTTGGAACTTGGAACGCTCTCCCACAACATGACATTTCCAACATCCACAACTCTTTGAGGCGCAGATGCCGCGTCGTCATTGCTGCAGGCGGTGGTCTCACAAGATATTAATCCTTCCGAACTTTCAGACATTACCTGAAATGCTTTTGATTTGACCAGTACCAGTGTGCTTTGCTATCATACGTTTCGAAAACCATAATTTAGGATGACTATGTCAATGTAAATTTTCTTGTTGGAAATATGCACATTTTCTGATTTTTTAAAATTTGGACCATGTCACTTCAGGTGGGGCTTGAAGCACACGGTGTGTATTATGTGCATTAAAATACAGGTTTTCAAATTTAGAAATGCTTCTTCTTCTTAGGTGTAAAAATTTGTCCCTGTGTCTGCAAAGGTTCATTTTTTATTTAACACTATTCTTTATGTCAAGTTTCTTTTGGAAATGGGTACATATATTAACCTTATAGTGTTGATTAGGACGTTAAACCAATACACTTACACTTAAATAATCTTGTAACCATGTACTGAGGCAATTTCTGCGCCCACAAAGCACCCAACAGAGACTTACAGCAACCTGCCCAACGGATTCCGAATCGCATGCGCTATAATAATTCTCTCCGTCGTCAGTCGGTAAGGGGAGACAGCTTTTTATCCCACTTGTCTCAGTGCCATACAAAAAAAGGCTAACGCTGTCAGAAAAGTCGACATTATTTTAAATGCGGCGGTCCGCGAATGGTGTCCAGTTTGTGGGTCATGATGCCCCTATGACAACATCGGATGTTTTTTGCTAACAAACAACATATTATTTATAAAGACACGAACAGGATGTCGGAGAAAAAAATGAAGAAAATAGAACTGTTAAAATCTGTGTTAAGTTTTGTTAGAGAATATAACCATCAAAATAGACGTACGTTCACGTTATACAAATTTATCTTTACGAAAAAGACATTTCAGAGGTAAAAACGCGGTTCGAGCTATCTAAACGTGATGTTCACAATTTCGCTTTCAACAAACCAGCCCAATCGTAGACCGGCTTTTTAGGTATGTGAACATGTGGGCATTCCAGAGCATGTCTGTTTACAGCACACAATGAAGCATGATGTCTGCATATATCTAAAATAATATGTGAGGCATTGTGGTGAAATCAGGCACTCGTCAAAATAACGAAATCGAAGAAACAGACGTTTTGCCACCAGTTTTGGCAATTTTCATCGAATTTTTGTTTTTTGGCTGAACACCTTTTATGCCCATTAAAAACACATTCCAGTGCTGATTTTACTGAAAAACGTTGATTATATGCATATAAAATGTATATTTTTAGTTTCCACGCGCTCTCAAGCTAAGAAAATAATTTAACTTTGAAGACCATTTTTTCGCTAATCGTACCTCTGAAACCAGGCCACCCCACCTCCTTCAATCGCAAATATCTAGACTTGTATCTAAAATAAATGAGTATTGTTTATATGGAAAGCAAGGCAAATATCAGGCTTTAAGATTATACCAATAACTCCATATTTGCCAAAAAATTGACGAGTGCCTGATTCCACCGCGTTGTTACACATATTAGATACTTAAAAGCCAGTAACATGAATCTACACGGGCCTTTTGGTATTAAGCTTCCCATTCGCGCTCATTGCGAACAGATGAGGAGAGGATTAAATGAACAGGGTGTCTCAAAAAGAGGACCCACTTAAAGGGCAATAACTCGGTCATTAGTGAACTGAACAAAAATTTTGAAAAAATAAAATTTAATCAAGAGGAAATCAAGTTTATAAATATGAAGACGTCCATCAACGTCTCCACGAAATATCAAGTTTTAAAAATGTTAACCAAATTAGAATTTGGGTAAAATGCAAAATGTTATGCCTACTTCTTAGAAGCGTTCAGCTACAGGGGCGTGATGGGCCCGTTCTAGTTGAATTTAATTTCGTCAAAGGTTAATTAAAATACTTCTAAAGACGGCAGAGCTATTCTGCCGTCAGCTGACAAAACGCCTTTTTTTCATTTTGGCGCGAAAATTTTTTATTTGATAAATCGATAGTCTGACCTGTTACCCAACTTGTGTGAAAAAATCAAAGTGAAACTGTGACTAGTTTTTTAATAAATTAACATTCAAATTTCGGAAGAACACCTGTTTTAAATGGTTATGCTGACAAAACGCCTTTTTTTATGAGTTTGCTGACAGAACGCCTTTTTTTCCGCCACGGCTTTGGAAAAAAGGCGTTCTGTCAGCAAACTCTGTTCAAGTGAAAAGCCGACAATGTTGCACTGGGGT